GCCGGGCCAAGCAAGAGAAGTGACCCAAGAGGGCAAAGAACCTGCTTCTCTGTCTGAAGTTTGGGGTCGCTTATGTTTTGCTCCCTCCCGCCTGCATCTTGCCCGAGCTTGTTCTCATTTTCTTTGTAACATACCCCTTTCCAGACCCTCCACCTCAACTTTCCCTCCTTCCCTTTTCCTTTTTTTTTTTTTAAATATATTTTATTGATTTTTTTTACAGAGGGGAAAAGAGAGAGATAGTCAGAAACATCGATGAAAGAGAATAATTGATCAGCTGCCTCTTGCACACCCCCTACTGGGGATATGCCCGCAACTAACGTACATGTCCTTGACCGGAATCGAACCTGGGACCTTTCAGTCCTCAGGCTGATGCTCTATCCACTGAGCCAAACAGGCTTCGGCTTTCCTTCCTTTTCTTGATCCCAGAGCACCCTGGGACCTCATGAGTCCGTGTCCTTTGGGTGCATAAAGCCTTTCCTCCACAAAAAAAGATGAGAGTATTTAAGGAAGGGGAGACGAAGTGGCAAAGGGGGTTAAAAAAAGAGAGGTGAGAAGGAGGGAAGGAGAAAAAGTATAGGACTCGGAGGGCATGATTTAAGCAAGTATTTGTTGAATAAGTATTGGATGAAATGAAAGAGTCCTACAAAGCTGAGGTCAAATTCCGATATGAAAACTAGTGATTTAGAAATAAGTTGACAATCTAACTCAATGTAAACCTATTATATAAACTATACATATAAGCCTGTTGTCCGAAGGCAGTTCCTATGTCCTGTTCTGGACATTATATTTGGGAAACAACATTGGATTGAAGGTCTACAGCATACAAAAATGATGGTGTCAAACACAAGGTGTATATATAATCAGCATTTATTATATTATACTAAGTTAACTACCTTTTATTAAGCACCTACCTATTACTTTGGGCATTATTCGGGGCAGCCCTGAAAGTAGGCAATGCCTACATTTAATTGATGCAACAAATATTAATTTCCTCACTGTCTGTGTGGTAGGCGGGATGCTGGGAAGGCGTCAGTGATGTGTCCAGTGTGTATCCATTACCAGCGTGAGTCAGTGTCCCAGTGCAACCTGGCCGCTGCAGCCACCAAGGTGTTTTCATCAACACGGACTCCAAGTCCCTTCACCACAAAAAAATAACAACTTTCTTTAGGCATTTTCAAGATGTCTCTTTCATAAAGATATGACATTTCTTTCTTTCTTTCTTTTTATCCTCACCTGAGGATATTTTTCCATTGATTTTTAGAGAGTGTGGAAGAGAGAGGGAAAGACTGAAAGAAACATCAAGGTGAGAGGGACACTTAGATTGGTTGCCTCCTGCATGATCCCTGACCTGGGCCCCAGCCAGGGAGGAGCCTGCAACCTAGGTCCATGCCCTTGGATCAGAATGGATCCCAGACCCTGCAGTCAGAAGGCCAAAGCATTATCCACAGAGCCAAACTGGCTAGGGCAGGATATGACATTTCTTAGCCCCTCTCACAGCAAACCTTCGTTTTTTAACTCCAGGAGTGAGGTGGAAAAACCCTAGATCACCTTCTTGAATTCTTATTACCCAAGTTACCAAGAACTCTGCGGGTGGCATAAGGGGAGGTTAGCCAATGAGCGGTCAGAAAAGGTGTTTCTTCTGCAGCTCACACGCAGAGGGGGACTGCCGGTGCGCTGTGCCTGGCAGGCCCTGCTGTCTGCGGGCCTGCTCTCTCGCTCGCCACGGTGCCTGGCAGCCAGGCCCTGCTGTCTGAGCCTGCCTTACCCTGCCCACTGGGCCGCCAGCCTTGCTGTGATAGAAGCCTGTGGGCTGCGGGGGCAGAACCCAGAGGTTCTCCATGCATTTCCTGGTGACCGAGTGTCCGTCTGGTCATGACTACACTATTATCAGTATAGATGCTGTGCCTCAGGTTCTAGAACACAGATACAATATGTGCATCTCCTCATGAAGTTATTCTAACAATGGAATAAAATAATGGCTATGGAACTATTGCCCCCCTCCCCCTTTAAAAAAAAAAAAAGGTATACTATGTAACATCACATGCAAACCTTAGATCTATTCAATTGAGCATATACAAAATTCCTAAAGGATAGGACACATTTTGTTACTTTGAGACCATTTCTTTCTGAGTTTCTGCCAGTTTCTTTCTACTACCATGCCGTTTTGTTGCGTAGATTCTAGTACAGCTGATCCTCAAAAAAAACTCTACTTTTATGCTTTGAAAGTCACCAAGTGCAATGATTCAGCCAGAGTGACCCATTTTAAAAGATGACCCATTTCAAAACCCATGAGTTATGATTCAAGCTGTTCTATATATGAGAGAAAGTTTCCCCCCCCTACAATCTCATCATTTGAATCAGTCTCCTATAAAAGGGAAACTCGATCTCCATTTTAATGAAATATAAAGTTTATTTGCTACAGCCTACACTTTATTTAGAAAATTCTTCACCTTTTGAGATTGTTTTTTGCAGGGCGGGGCCAAAGCATTTATGTCCAATATCATGTATGCCTCTTTTTTCCTCCCCACATTTGTTGTTGTTGACAGTATTACAGATGTCTCTCATTTTCTTTCGTTTTTGCCCCCCTCCACTCAACACCCACTCTTCCGCATACTATTATCTGTAATCATCTCTCGTTTCTCACTTCCTGGGGAACAGTTTCTGAGCTTGGCTCCATCTCCCCCTGTCATGGCACCCATCCCCACGTTGAGGGGTCAGGGTGAGCCCCTAGAGGACTCGTGAGGCTTAGACTGAGTCAGCCTCACACTCAGGGTGCTCAGTAAATACTCAGGAGAATGCCTGTGGGACAGGGGAATGAGGGGGGCGGGGAGAGAAGGAGTGGGAGAGAGAAGGATCATTTTATGTAAATACAGGAAATATTTTAGATATGGAGTGTATCTTGCTTTAAAATAAGAGTTGACCCCGCCCCCCCCCCCAAAAAAAAGCAGCCCCCATCCCTTGAAACAAGAGATAAAATCTACCCTAAATTTTGGTTTGAGAAAGTAAATCTTTAGCTGCTCATCGCCCATCAGTCCCCTTTCAGGAAGTTCAGCATGGGACCTTTCAGCTGCCACGACTTAATACAACTACCACCTTCAAGTCATCCTTTTCTGGGTCAGTTTCAGCTTCTCACATCTTTCCCCCCCCCCCCCCCCAATAGGGACCAGGCAACAACGTTTCCCAAAATAAAGGCGCAGAGGAACAAGTCCAGTTCTAATAGCTGTCCTTTCATCGGAGAGTTACCCTAAATATGAGCGACCAGCCACCACCCACCTAACCCATACATAACCTATGAAAACCAACACTGGGAAAGAAAAAAAATATGGGGTGTGTAGCCAGAATCCGATGAAAAGTTGCTACTTTCTGCTGAATTTCATGTTGCATCCCAAAGTGACATCACTTTGGGATGCAACATGAACTTCAGCAGAGTAAAAAAAAGGAAGAAAGAAAAAAAAGGAGTGGCAGAGACCTTCCCGCTAGGAAGAGGTCTCCTTCACCAGCGCCCCCAGCCTGCCCGCTTCCTCGTCTCCATGTCTCCAGCCACGAAAGCTTCCTCTGTCTGTCGGTTCCTAGTTTCCACCCCGACCCGACGCAAGCTTCCTCCCCGTACGCACCCCCGCAGCCCCCGGTTGGGGGACACCGCCCCCCCCCCCCCGGCCGGAAACGAAGGCCTCGGGTCTCCCGCGCTCGGGCGGGTCTCGGCAGCGGGACGGGGCGCGGCGGGCGCGTCGCCGGAGGAGCCCCCCCGGGAAGGGGACCCGCCGCCAGACCCCGGGACACTTACCCCAGCGGAGCTCCGCGGCCCCCTCCAGTCTCCCTGCGCCGGCGGCCCCGGGGGGGCGACGCGGCCCGGGATCGCGGTGGTCGGCGCCCGCCCCGAGCAGCAGCGAACAAAGGCGCCCGAGAGGAAACGCGCCCCCCTTCCCGCCGCGCTGCCCGCGGCCCCGGCCCGACCCCGCGGCGCGCGGGGGCCGCCCCCCGCTTCCCGGCGCCCAGCCAGGGGCGGGGGGAACCCCTTCCAAAGCCTAAAGCCTGGGATGGAAGCTTTACGATTGGGAAGGGGCCGAGCCTGGGATCCGAGGATTGACCACCCCTTTCCAAGCCTAAACTTGGGGCCGGGCGCGCACTCCGAGCTGGAGCCCTGCAGCCGCCCTCCCGACCGTGCGCGCCCTCACCTCCTCGCCACCTTCCCCTCCCCGGAGGGGAAGCCTCGTCCGGTCCCGGGCGGACGGAGGAGACGGCGGGGTTCCTGTCCTCCGTCCCGGGCTGCTCCCTCCCGCGGCGCGGCGGGCGGCTGGCCGGGCAGGGGCGGGGCGGGGCGCAGGCTGCGCGGCCCGAGCCCGCACGGACGGCGGACCGGACAGCGGCTCCGGGTCTCGGTTCCCCGCGCACAAAGCACCACACTCCTCAGGGAGTTGAGGTTTCCCCCAGAAGCGTGCCGGAGCTCCCCCCACGTAGCGGTCAGAACAGGAGGGAGGACCCCATTGCCTCCCCGGGGCGCGGGTGGGGGTGGGGGTGGGGTCCAACCCGTTCAGGACGCAGTCGGCTGGAGAGAGCAATTTTTAAAAATCGTACCGTCGATCCCGAGTTAATTACCCTGAAGCAACTGGTCTGAAAACGGCTTCCTCCGGAGAAGTGGGTTCGATTTAACCATCCGTCTGTTCGGGACCGGCGGCGGCTCCTCCTTCCTCCCCGGGAGGTGGGAGGTTTGGGCTGGGCTGCAGGGGCCCCATCGTTTTGTTTCCTTGTGGAGAGAACTGTCCCGCCACACCGCTCTGCCAGGAGCTTCTGGAGCCCCAGCGACCAGAGAGGGAAACGCGGCCGGCGACTAAAGCATCACTCAGCGGCGCGTTTTTAAAAAATGCCAGGCGGACAGGGGAATCACCACCTCCTCCAATGCCTTTGCCCCCGAGCCCGGTGCACGTCAAAGAGCCAAAGAGCGCCTAAAGCAAAACTCACCAAAGCCAAGCCCAGCGCCCCCAGCGCCCCCAGCTCCCTACCGGAGGCCGGCTGTCCTCCCGATGTCCAGGCAGAGGCCTCCGGTCCCCAACACAAAGCCTGCCCGCTGGCTCTTGGGCACGGCCCGTGCAGGCGGCGCGGCCGGACTCGCCGGCTTCCTCCTGGGGAGCCGCCGGGCGGAGTGGGCAGAGGAGAGCGGGCCCAATCAGGGGCGCGGCGCAGGGCGGGGGCGCGGCGCCCGGGAGGCTCTCCCACCCACGGCGCGGGCTGCGGGCGGGCGCGGGCTCCCTGCACCTCCTGGCGCCGTGGGTCATGGCGAAGGCCGGCCTGGCTGGCCCCTCCTCCGCCAGCACCCCGCGTTGGGGGTGGGGGTGTGGGTGGTGATGGGGATGTGCCGCTGCTGATGGGTAGGTCCCGCCGGACTCCGTTCCAGTGGGTGCAAGACCAGTCCAGGAAGTGCTTCCTGGCGCCTACGTAGTTGGATGAGGACATATCCTCAGGTGATCAAGGGTGAGCCAGCATCCACAGGAGCGTCTTCTTGGAGCTGTTTTTCTTGCTCAATGTAACTTAACGCACACCTCTAGACAGTAAAAAAAAAAAAAAAAAAAAAAAAAAAAAAAAAAAAAAAAAAAAAAAAAAAAATCAGAAGAACGTAAATTTCTGCGGAAGGAGAGTAAATCCTTTATGTGTTTGGTGTCTCATTCCTCAGATGTTCTAGCAAACATCATCACTTAGCAAGCACCATCATTTAATATTATGGTTAATATTTTGAACAACTTTTTAATGGCGCAGATTTCTGGACATGAGAGAAAACAAAAGATTAACCCACATCAAGTAAATGAAAAGCTTTGTGTTTCTTATTGTAAAAAGGAATGAGACAGGTAATGGGTTCAAAGTAGATTACCGAATGCAAGTTTGAAGTTGTAGTTACAGTATTGTACCTGTTATTTCAAACTAAGTTTTCCGATGGTTTATAACTGCTCTCTGTAAGCCCTTTAGCCTATTTTGAGCCATACGATATATCTCCCATAGAGAGAATGTCTCGGCACTGCTATTATCCACTCAGAGATTATAGTGCCATATGCGTGTCAGAACACAGACAGAAATATTTATATAATGTGACTTGTAAGGGGGTCCCTGACGGACCCATACGGAAATGGACTCGTTGTTAGTGCTCTGCAAATCACCTCCCTTCTTTACCCATGCAAAATAAAATCCTGACAGGAGTTTCACATACCTTCTTCCCATCTGTCATATGTGTATGACATACAATATTTATGGGCCCACATAGGTCCGTGTGTTAGCCCGAGAGCCTTCCATGTGCACAAACACGGAGGACTGTTCCACAAGAAGTGCAGAGTAACCAGAACATTGATATATATAATATATGCAAATCACATATTCATATCACCTTATGTGGAAACAGATGCCCCAGACAGATAAATCATTTCCAGTGTAAGTCAGGAGATTGATGAGAGGATGTGTGTGGCTTTTGTTGGGAGCCGGGGGCGGGGAGAGGGGGTGGATGAAAGATGAGGATGGACAGAGTGGTCCAGAACGTCTGCCCGGGAGCCCACTGTGCACACCACACAGGGAAGGAGGCGCCAGTCTGGGAGGCTCTTTTCTTCATGTGGGTGGATTTGCTACCCCAGGCTGGCTCCCCACGCCACCCCAGACCCCAGACGGGGAGAAAGAGAACGATAGGCTTCATGGATAAGAACAGAACACTCAATTTATTGAATGGGGAGGAAGTGCCTGAACAATTTGAAACTAATTAGAAATACGATTAAGATGATAAGTAGTGATGCTGATGTAACCGTCTCAGAGAAGGAAGACAGGGTCGCCTTGCCCTCTTTATCCACAATCGCTGCTGGTAAACAAAAACCACTATGACTGGGAATGTGCTTCGCAGAGCACCGGAGGACAACAGAAAAAGCACTGGAAAAAATGAGAGGAATTGCAATTTGCATGTTAGATTTAGAAAGAATAAGATAAGGCAGGGAAAGAGCCGAGGAGAAACAGATGTGGGAGGCAGGGCCAGGGAATGAGGCAGAAGGGCGTGTCTCTCACCTTGTTGGGAAAGAAGACTTGGACCCCAAGTACAAGAGAATCTAGGAGACGGTGGGAGCAAGAGACCCGAGAAGAAAGCATGCCTTCCTGAAATAACGGAGAAGCGGTTTTGATGGCTGACTAGCTTAGTGCCTAACCCCATGGGAGCACAGAGTCAGGCTTGACTGGTTCGGGTGATTTGCCCTTTCTGGACTCTTACGTAGGAGATGTCCTTACACACCCGGCACAGGCCCCGTCCTGCTCAGACACACTGCAGGCTGTGTTCTAAAGTGGTGAGTGTTCATGCAAGGCCTGAGCTGCGAGAGGGGCGGGCTGGGATCCTGACCTTCCTGCCGGCCACAGGATCTGGGCAGTGACCCACCTTCTCTACACCGCACGGCCATGCCTGCCTGGAAGGGTGTGGTGAGGACTGACTGCAATAACAATGACGTGCGTGAAGGGCCGAGCTCCGCAATGCTCAGGGGCTGTGTGGACACCGTCACCCCCATGCCACCTCGACTGCAGAAAACGCCTCTCACTGGGGAGCTGGCAGAGGCGCCTTCATGCTGCCCCCCATCGCCACAGCTGCAGAGGGACCTGCTGTGTTTCACATCTATTAACACAGCATCGCCCCTCACAGAACGCACCACCTCTGGCTGCCTCCCCCTGTGCTGCCCGCCGGCCACTCCGCCCAGTCCTCTGGCTGGGCTTTCCTCCCACCCTGCTCCTCGGTGGGCTCCTCCGTGGCCTTTATCCAGGACTGTTTTCTATAGATTCTGAGCTCCACACGTGAACGTCGTCACTTACACGTGTCACAAAAGTCCTAACTTGATTTGTCTAAAATGCTTGACCCAAACACGTGTTTGTGAAACGCTGACTGGATGGAACGTGACTGTCCCAAGGGCCAGAATCCTCCTCTTCTCACCAGCGGGCCCAGCCCAGGGCGCTGCGTGGCAGTAACAGTTGGCCCTGTGTCACTGTGTAAATTGTCCGTGGACCTGTTCCCTGCTCTTCTGAGAGGCCTCAGACCTCTTGAGGGGGGAGCCCACGTCCTGCTCGTCCCCAGTTCCCACGAAGAATCCCCCACAGGCTCTGCACGGAGTGGACACGTATGTACTGACAGTTGGTTGAGTTGAATGTGTGCTGAACGCTCCAACGGTCATCACATATTCAAACTTCCCTTCCCGTCCACAGGACAATGGCCCCTGTGTGCTCCTCCCTGAGGCCTGCAGCCCCAGCGCCGACACTGGGGCACGCGCCCTCCCCCACTTGCCTCTGCTCCTGTGGTTTGGCACATTCTGCATCCTCCCTCCATCCCAGGGCTTGGCCGCTGCATGAAGCCACACGGGTAACCTGGAACGGGGAGATGCAGGGAGCGAGGACACAGAGCACTCACTGCAGGCCCTTCTCAGACCCACCGTCTTCCTTTCTCTCCTCTGCATGGGGCAGGGATCATCTAATCACACACAGGCCTCTCTATGTGCCCGTCTAACCTCAGCAGGGCCCCGCACGGACAGGGCAGCCTCGGAGAGGCAGGTCCTGGAGGCAGGGGCCCTCCTTGGTCCAGTAGAGCTGTGCTGAGGGTGAGGCGGCCTCGCTGGGGGAGGGATGGGGAGAGAGGACTGGGGGGGTGGGAGGTGGGAGCGAGGTGGCACAGGTCTCCCTCCAGGCTGCACATGCCCAGGCAGCCCCAGTGGCAGTGGCCTGGGCACACTCCCTGGCAGTGGTTCTGCCAGCATTTCTCTCCCCTCCCCACCTGCAGACCAGACGCACACCTCACACTCTTAGGGCCATCAGGGTTCTGGGAAAGTTTCGGGGGGCTGCCTCTAGCTCCATCCCCTGCCTCCTACTAGGAGGGCACGGCCAACTTGAGTGAACGATGACATCTGTGCAGGGACGATCTTGAATGTTGTCTGAATAAGGCTCAAGTTTTAAAAGACAGTTGGTATCAGCCATCAGCCTCGCCAGCTCTCTAAACTGAGTACAATGATTTGGGTCCTGTGATGGGGCGGCACTGAGAAAACAAGAACATCACAGCAGGTGCCCCAGAAATCGTACCGACTATGGCATGGAGGCTGCAGAAGCAACCATTTGTGTTTTACCCTTAAGTTTGGTTGTGCTGATATTTTAAGGACAACTTAAAATAGAATCCTCTGTTTTCCTTTATTAAAAAAATATTTTTTTTTATTGATTTTTTTTACAGAGAGGTAGGGAGAGGGATAGAGAGCTAGAAACATCGATGAGAGAGAAACATCGACCAGCTGCCTCTTGCACACCCCGTACTGGGGATGTGCCCGCAACCAAGGTACATGTCCATGACCGGAATCGAACCTGGGACCCTTCAGTCTGCAGGCTGACGCTCTATCCGCTGAGCAAAACTGGTTTTGCCTTCCTTTTCTTAATAGTTAAAAATTTCCAACTGTTCATGCCTGCTTTATGAAGCCTATGTGGTTCAAACCCCACTCAAACCAGACAGTTATCGGCCTGCCTGGGATTTATATTGAGTTAATTATTTAAAACTAGAGGCCCACACTCTTGGGGTCCCTCGGCCTGGCCTCCGGACATTGGGCAAAACCAGCTCTCCGACATCTCCCAAAGGGTCCTGGATTGTGAGAGGGTGGTTCTTAGGTAATGCACCCCAAATCGGGCTCCCTCCTCTCTGGTTCCAGGTGCGTCACCCAAGAGCTGCAGCTGCCAAGTCACCGAAGCTTGGCAGCTCCTGCATTGAGCATCTGCCCCTGGTGGTCATTATGCGTCATAGCACCAGTCTGCCTGTTGAAAGGTCAGGTTGTCGCTTAGGCTTTTATATAAGCAGACCATCATTCGTTAAGAGTTAGAGATAGTTGTACTGTACTGAGATTTTTGTTTCATGTAACAGTCCTTCTAAGAAGGCAACTCTAAAGTCCTTGATAAATCATTTGATCTGAAACAATATAGTTCACCATGACTCAGTCTTGGTTGTTCTGATGACCAAGGTCATAAAACCAAATATTAAACATTTTGCTATTTGAACCTGCAGGTATGGGGTTAAGGAATGCTGGAAAGAGAGAGCAATATTTCTGAGCGATATGTTCTGGTATAGTACGTACACAAACCTCTTGGGAGGAAAGGAATTAATAGAATAATAAGCTATATGCAGGGGAG